GAGAAACCAATCTCATGTTGTCTAGTCCCGAGTGCTGGTCGAAGTATATCGCTCATCATGTACTATTGCCAATAAGCTGGGAGGCTCACCATTGCAGTACACTTATCACAGAGCAAAGCCGAAGCCTTTATACGATTGTTATTTGAGTTTTGATAAAGTCATCTTTGTTCCAGAAATCGAAAGCAGATGTATGCTGACAATTCTGTGAATCCATATAAATTTTTTACCTGTTCATATGAATTAATTTTCCGGGTTACCTAATGAAGATATGAGTAAAAATAAATAAATTTGGACAGCTGAAGTCTATGTCTTCTGTTCATCCTTCTGATTTCTACGTGATACAGTAAAAAATGAAAGTAAAATTCTCATATACTTAGAAAAACTCATTCTTGTCAACCTATCAACAAATTTATTTACATTAAGATCTTTGTTTTATGTCTTAATATGGATTATAAATTTAATGACATCAAATTATTGACAAAGTTTCCAACTTATGCGAAAAGTATCTTCACATTGAGGTAACTAATGTGCTCTTTGATTTCGGGCAGCTTGGCAAATTCTGGAGGGAAATCTTCTAGAATGTTCGTTCAGTTTCGACACAGCTTTAAATGCACACAGACAATTGCAGTTTTCAACAGAATGTTTATTTTTAACCTAAAACATGTTGGGATGTAGCATTTTCGTCATAAATTTATCAGGTTAACTGTTCGCCTTTGTAGTGGACCTCAAAGAGTCGTCACGTAAATGAAAATATCAAGTTAATTATAACTAACTATAAGAGGTACAAAGATGCGCAAATATGAAAAGTTGTGCGTTATAATACGAAGCACTAATACCAGTGTTATGGATAATAATGGGTTACTTAAAAGTTATCTCTTCGGTACTGTCCACCACAATTTAGTATGTTCCAATGTTAGTTCAGAAGGCGATAATCGTCATCACTCCAGGGTCGACGTTGTTTGGGTTTGTTGTCGTGATATTTGGAAGTAGGATTAGAGGTCTTGTAAAATCCAAGGGGAATCAGTCAGTATTCACTTGAGACAGTAGTTAGTGGAGGCAGAATTCCGGGCACACAAAAGCACAATATATTTTGAGGTTTAAAAATGGAACTAAAGTGATACCGCTACAACCAAAATTCCATTTTTTTTATTTCTGTATATACAAAATATTCGTTTTCGTATTAGGAAGAATGTACAAAATGTGTAGGAAGTGATAAAAAGGAAACATTTTTAAGTGGTGTATACATAATTTCGTGCAATCTCCACACATGGTGAGCCTAAATTGATTCAAACAAGAAACTTCAAAATCTTTTAGCCAAAGTTAATCGTGATGATAACTAATTGAATAGCTGAAGTTAGTGGCATAGTAGTTTACCGCCAGTGGTTTGAAATATTTATGAATTAGTAACTAGTCTGATCAGAACACATTACCATGCACTTTTACTATCAGAATACACTAAAAAAATGCATAGTCACAATAAATGTGACAGTACCTGCATACTTGTCTTAAGAGTTGATTGTTTTATTGCTTGCCCATTTCAAAAGCATATCATTTCCTTCGGTTGACACGTATTATAGTCGATCGTTTGATGAATTATCTGTATGAAATCCAGGAACTGAAGAAAATACTTATAACTGGTCACAGTGTAAATTTGGAAGGCTACCATGGTAAATGGATTATTGCTCATTTAGTTTGAATGTAACGCTGTTACTTCCAGAATGTGTATCCTATTCCTTCATTCTAGTTTTTAGAACGTTAAAAATATAGCAATAATCAGTTGACTTAGTAAAACATCTTCTTGAAAGATGATGTGATCGGAAATACTCAGACTAATTTGTGCCCTTTAACATTTTAGTTCTCACCAGTAAGAAGTTAGATGGAAAGGCAAATACCTACCAATGACAATGGATTATGGTCGCGCTATATCACGAAATGAAACAACTTTTAAATTGTGAGTCATTCTATCTTAACTCAGTGGTCGGGTTGTAACATCCTTGTCGTGCAAACTGACAGTTCAATATTTTGCCCTTCACTAGGTTGCGACTACATTCTGCTGAAGAGTCTCCAACTAGAATGAAGCAGTTGTTCAGCGCTACCATGTTTTCAATGACTCTCTGATTCTCTTTGTCTCTGGTTCCCAATGAAGTGTTTGCATCACAATTTACGCAATCATTTTAACAAATCTGTTTGTTACGTTTACAGTCTTATCCTTTATCAGTTAACCAGACTTATGAATAGTTCCACTTGAATTTCCTCACCTGGTCAGTTTTAACTTCACCTGGTAATATGGTTCCAGGGTGAAAACAGGATTTCACCTGACAATACTTAAGCGGTTACTTTGTTATTTTATTATTATTATTTGTTCCTTGGGTTCCTAGTGGAACATAGGGCTTCAGTAGCACGTCTCCAGTGCACTCTGTTCTATGAAATATTTTGAACCTGGTTCCACAACAGCCCAGAAGCTCTCATTTCTTTCTCGCGCGATCTCCCCCATATCACCCTCCGACACCCACCTCGCTGTTTTCCATCTGGGTTCCACTCAAGTGCCTGGCGCATGATGTCCCCAGTCGGCCTTCTCAGGGTATGCCCAATCTAATCCATCTCCAGTTCCTTCCGAATATTTGTTGAGTGATAGGTTCTTGACTGGTTCGTTGCCAGAGTTTCTTGTTTCTTATTCTTTCTGGCCATCTGATCTTCAATAACGAGCGTCGGTTACTATGTTAGGACATGTGAAATTAATTTACTTACTAGGACTAGTTATTTAGTACTACAGGAAGATATTCTGTTACTTATTTGAAGTTACTCTATTATAGACACTTAAATGTACCTGTCGTTGTGGTTAGCCCCATGGAACACTTTTAATTCTGATTTGATTTAAAACTGACATCGATCGCCAAAGTATGCAAGAGTAAGTTTAGGACATTCATAAACTTCTTCAGCACTACGTTCTCCATTAACGAATGATAGACGTTTTACATAATTTTGATGTTGATGGGGATCTTATGTTTTTAGGCAACATTCATCACGAAATAATAACAGTTGGAGAACCATTAAAACCTGAGAGCACTGGAGGACTGCCGTTCTGTCTTAGTGTAGGACTCCTCAGAATGCATTACCGCATAGTGCTCATTAGTGACATGCTTCCATATGCACATCAAGAAGTTTTAATGAGAAGACGTGACCTGTGGAGTCAACTAGTCGGAATTGAATAGGATGCCAAATGAAAACCATGAGTGATAGTCGCGCTATATCGCGAACTGACAGAAATAGGGAACTGTTCATCAGTGAACCCCGACCCAGTGGCTGAATGGTTAATGGATTCACGGGGAGACCTGAAGGTCCTGAGTGTTTTCTCTCGCTGGGTCCTGGATGCGTATATATATATATATATATATATATATATATATATATATATAATACTAATTGGTTTGTTACGTATAAAAGATTGTAATCAAAGAGTCTTTTTTCTTAAAGACATGCAGTTCCAGTTTAGTTAACCATTTTTGAGACTGATAATTGGGGTAAACGGTCACAATATTGAAAAAAAATAGGAAAAGCGTTTAGATTTCGAATTTCAAATAATTCTAAAAGTTGTTTTGTTAAACTTAGTCACTAAATGCCTCTCCTTATAAAAGAAAAACAACGAACAGATTCTTGTGGGTAGGTAAATTTCGAATTAGAATAACTTTTCTGTTATTGATTGTAACTTCTTTTTGTTGATTGAACCAAATTTATCAGTCTGTATTAGCATATGCAGTATTGAGCGGGTGCCTTAATGTTCCCTGGAATTTCAACTTTATAGTATTAGGACGAAAGGTACATCCTAGATTCCACTGCTAACCATTATACACCATTACTATCATAAATAACTGATTTATGCAGATCAGTATATTTATTGAAGAAATAAACTGAAATGTTTGCCATTTTCATATTTCGTGAAAGATGTGATGAATACCTTGATATTGGTTGCACCGGAAATAAATAATGTGCAATCTAGTGGTTAAAAAAGAAAGTAGTAGTTGTTAAGCATGCTCCAAACTTCTGGTTTATCATTGCTAGTGAAAAGTTAGGGAACAATTGGAAATTACGGGGCACTGGACAGTTGTTTCACCTTAGTGTGGGACTCCTCAGTAGTGCGCACCAAAAGCTCCATCAGGACTTAAAATAAGGACCTTCAGATTCGGTGGCCAGCAAGTTAATATTGAGCTACAATGGTAACGTACTGACTACGGAACCTGAAAGCCCTTGGTTCGACCCCTACTGGGGTCAAGAATGCGCACTGCTCAGAAGTCTCCTAGTAAGACGAAACAGGTGTCCAGTGGTTCTCTAACTGATATCCGTCCATGAAGAATACCCACTTAAGGTCAATGAATAAATCCCCATGAACCATTTAAAAGTAATGAGAAGTTGTGTAGAACGAACTTCTGAGAGTTGCACAGTAAAATCCCTCATAGAGATACAAAACACTTAAGGTAATGAAAAAACCATTAAAATTGAATGTGAAATATTTAAAAAAGTAATTTATATCCTTGCAAAAGAATAATCAGAGTGATTAGCAAATAATCTTCACCAATTCGACAAGTCAGAAATGTTTGTGAGGGTATTCAGAAGGTATCATTACAATTACAGGTCAAAAAAGAAGTAAGTATTAGACTGAATAACAATTTGTTAGTTTGCTAACAGATTTCTAAGTACACAAGTATTTAAACAAACTTCAAATATGTAATTCATGTGGATAAAAACAGGCTAACTGTTTACTTTATTATCCTTTTATTAATTAATCAACATGAAAAATGCTTCTATTGAATTAATCATACACAGGATTATTAAATAGTCTAACTAGGCTACTGTTATCTGAATTAAGGTAATCTTTTTTCTTTGTTAAGATATATCAATTTAAATGTATTGAGTGCAAGGTAGTTAACTTTAGTGCATGCAAATCAGATAAATAATGTCTGATAGATGGAATTTTCTCAGATTAAACAGTACTTGCAAAATCAATGCAAATGACAACATTCTGTTGTTTATGCACATTTTTATTACTTTTTAATAACTATTGCAATGCATATGGATATAGCTACTCAAGTAAGTAGTGGAATGTGTTGATTAGTATAGAAATGTGTACATGCCTAGTTCAGTAAGTTGAGATGAAAAAAGTTATGCGTGTATTTTATTTAGTGATTGAAATTAAAAGTAGTCTGGATTCAAGACTTTAGAATAAAATAGAGTAAAATCACAATTATTATTTGACTGAAATGAGATTATTGAATTACATAGAAGTGAATATACTAAACACCACTAAAATCATTGTCTATTTTATGCCACTTAGTGGATAACAGTTTGTGCACAAAGCATCATTCAGTAACCGTTCATTGATGAAATTGGGAGTGTAATCAATATACTACTGTAGGCCTAGGTCATTAAGTTATCATGACAAACGGGTTCAGAAGATGTACACGATTGTAGTTAAGCTTTTAGTAAGCAATGCAATTCAGCAATTGAACCATTTGTTTCATTAATGTTCTATTTTGTTGTCAGTTGAACATGTCCTAGTCGATCGAACTACCTGAGGCTGACTACAAAAGAATCATCTGTAATCAGAGAACGTGTTTAGATGCAAAACACCTAATTCCTTGGTATTATTGGATGTATTTTCTAGAAATGGTGAAAATAACATATACTCAGTCATTAGATTCAGATGTTTAATTCTAAAAATTTGTAAAATAATTCTTTATTTTTACGAATGAGTTAGTTATCCTAAATTCACTGCTTTATTACCCCGTTTCTCAACGAAATGCCACGGGTCACTTTCTGTCTCATACCCTCAGTAGACTAGTTACAGATACCAGCATTCACCAAAATATTTCCTCATTAATTTTAATGCAAGTGGTTTAAGATAATGTTGTATGAAAGTCATTAGATATATCTGAAAGTTAAACTCTATTGACTGCATTTGCGACTACTTACTGGCTGAAGTGACGGTTTACAAAACACCATAACCAACAAACTTTAATGCTCTCCAGGAAGATGGAGGTGAACTTACTGCCAGACAACTTTTTTCCTTTCTGGTAAAATTAATTGTCAATCTACTCAGGATAGTCCAGCTCAGAAAGTTGCATCGTTCAAACCAATTCAGAAGTTGTCAGTGATATGGTGTAGTGATAACATGAAATTACCTATGTCCAAGTTTCTCACTTCATGTCAATCAGTAGTGTGAGTCCCAGTAATTCTTTTTACTTTATTGACACCATTCTTGTTATCAACTTGATAAAAATTTGAGGTTCGAAAATTTCAATAATGATGTAAAACTTGAATACTGTATTCAAATGTAATTCCATATTAGATTTGTGATACCACATTATTTACTTGGTGATGTTTCGGACATAAGCTAATGCTCATAATCATACCAATGTAATCACACAGCTTTCCACATTTGATTTTTATAGTCCTGCCACCTCATATTCTTTGTTTTTAATGATAGTAAACTTTTTTATATCACCGGCAGAAGTGCTAGGAATTCCTGTTGACTGATTAATTGACTGGTTCAAGTATCAGAGATTCGATAATTACTCTCTTTCCACCTAACTATATTGGACTTAAGTAAAGGAAGAGGAAGAGATCAGTTACTGAATCTTTCAGCAAATAATCAATGGGAATGACACCGCTTGTAATGGAGAAGGGTAAAATTTTGTTACCAATGGAAGCAAAACAATACGGGGTGGTAATAAAAGCAAAAATCATGTATTGAAAGTTGTCTGGTTACTTGGTACTGAAGGAAACGAGAAGACAGAGATGAAGGAGGAAGGTTTATTATTGACATCCTGTACAATAGTCATCAGTTACATAATATGCTTCATTTCCTCTTCTGCTCCTATCGTGATTTTCTTTTAATACTCCCGCATTGTCTCTTACGTTTCTCTGGGCAGAATGCTTACCTATGATTTCTGCCGCCCTCTCACCATATACTACTTATGTCCATCCTTATCAGCAACGCCAGCTACAGTACAACTGTTAGCAATGTTATGCCCGGAATGTCGTCGGGTGACTAATATTGTATCAATATGTGCCATACAAAATCAATAAACGTATCTTGGAGTTTAAAAATTTTGATTTCCAAGAGAGAAACCACAGTATAAAGTACATAACTGGGTTTCATCGGACTCTGCGATCCGTAACCCAGTCTGAAAAATCTATAAAAACTTACTTCCATGCACTGATTTATGGCCGGTAGGACACTGTTAAGTATTTCTCCCTTGATTATAAAAATTTGTCTCTGTAACAATATGCACAAAATGGAATTAAGATATCTTGACGAAAAAGGCCATTTGAATGAAAAAAATAACATTCTTCTCTACAACTTCTTCAGGTCTTACAGTTATGTGTAAGTATTGTATACTTTTTCGTCAACAATATTGAGATTTCATTCGACAGTTTATTGGTGACTCAAAATAACACACTATGGATATTTAACTGTAGAACCTGAAGAAACTATCCAGAAAGATATACTTTGTTCATTCAAACGGCTTTTAAAGAAAAATTTAGTGTGACTGTAGTTTAGAAAGAAGAAAAGATGTTTAAATTGAATAACTGATTAGTCGGTTTCATGTATTGTTTTCAGTGTTGAGCTACAAAAACTCACCAATGTTTTCATTTGTTTGTCCACATTTCCATCTTGAACCGTTGACACTTATAATATTTTGAAATACACGTGACATTAAAATACCGAAAGTTTCCTCTAGTTTTACCTATGACAGAAATAAGCCTTTCATTTGACACCAGTTATACAGTGAGTGTTTAGACGAACTAAATTTCATCCTGATAGAAACACCAGAGACGGGAATATAAGTAAAAAAGTTGTTCAGTAACTGATAGCACATTGAGAATTATAATGAAGTAGGTATATTGCAAGGAAAAGTTTGTGACTGCTTTCCACCCGCATCAGATTTCAATAGGTAACAGTGACTTATCCTAAAATTGTAATCCAACTTCCATATTCAAGTACATAAGTGAGGATACGGAGTTTCACAAATATTTCGAAAAGTAACCTTTCATTATTTGATCGAACAGAATGTTATTGCGAAGTCAACGTAATACTTCCTTAAAATATTTATGATCATTAGTAGTCACCTTGACGTATTTTAGAGGCTATCAAGGTTATCCCGTTTCTAACGTTTGGGTTTTAACTCATGAATTTTCATTTAGCCGAAAACATAACGTGATAGACGTACTTAAAGGTGTCACTATTGCAGTCCAGCTTAGGAACAGTCACTAAAGCTATAAATGCAGAATGTTCTCATATTTTAAATGTCTAAGAATAGGTTAATGCAGAAAAGCCGTTCACTGAGGTCGATAAACTGGAGACAACCATATCAGAAGAAATGCTACTGCGTTACATATGTGTAAAGTTGATGGATAAATGGTTTTCCGAATGACAAAACATCAGAATATTTTATGATCATTGCTCTAAAAACATCTAGCTAGCTGCCAATTGTGAAATAACTGGAATTTAAGTGATTTTTTTTCCATCTCCCTCACTTTTTCCAGGTTATTATAGGAAGCATTTTGATCTGGCCATCGCAACTTTTACAAAAGAACCAAATCTAGGCACCGTTTGGTTCACACCACACGGGAAGTACATGTATCTTAATGGAAGTGTGGGCGGACTTCCACCCAGCAGCGTACTAGGTGTACATATTCATAGGTATGGAGGTCTTGGAGACATGTGTCTTGAAGCTGGACCCCATTTCAATCCATTCAAACAGTAAGTGTTGACTAAACTTATGTACAACTATGACAACTTATGCTTACTGAGATGAAATCCAAGCTTTTATTGTATTAACGCTGATACGTCTTAATTATTTCATTCTAGTGACTTCCAACAAATTTAGGTTTCCCTTTAGGTGTTACGTAATGAATGACAGTGTCTTTTAGTGATGATTACTTATGCTCGCCACTACACGTGATGTATCCATTTATAATTTTATTTTTCTTACCACAAAACTTACAAGCGTCTAGCTAGTGAAATAAGATAATAGGTTTGCTGAAATACGAGAATAAAATACAGACTTGAAGACATCCCCCTTTAAAAAGTAATCGATACCAAGGAAGATAACTGGGACTTTGTATATCGATGCAATATTCAACCCTAGCTTTATGCAGGAACCAGTTTACAGGCTTCATGCTTAATGTAGATTACCTTATCACTCAGCTACTGGGTTGAAATTCAGTGTTTCATATATTTCTATCCAGGCCAGTTTTAGTAACAACAATACTATTTTACCGATAGGTCATTTTAGGACGAAGTATTTTAATTCAATGAATACTTGAACCATACTGAACTGAACAACTGTAATTTAATATTATACTGACCATTATTATTTCACTCAAAGATGAATAGTTCACATATCTTGATCCAAGTATTAAAAAGAGACAATCAATTTATTTACATCTATGGTGCTACAAAACTGAAGAATGTACTCAGATGTAATCATATAGATGAGCTATAGTGTAGCTACTGAGTAACCACCAATGCTGGCCATCTAGATTCATCCACTAGTTCACATGTACATGACGGAGCAAATACACCTGATGAACAAAAAGAAGGGTTCATGATCGCTTGTCTGAACATATTCCGATGAATTCTCGACTGAGAGTTGGAAAAGTCTTTAACAGAGCAATTGCTCATCACCTTATTGCTGATGGATATGAAGTTGATATTCAGGAATCGTTCGTTAGTAGTCAGATGAATTAAAATTTGCTACGTTTTGATCAAGCGTTGGCCACTAGACGATTGAAACTTGACTTATGTGTTCAGAAAGAAACAGTCATCCGTTTGTGCCTACAGTGGTAAAGACTTTTGTTTCGTTGATAATCATCACGTCTTTTTAACATATCACTGTCGTATGATACAGGTAGGTTTTTTTTTGTTATTTTACATCGCACACCCCAGACCTAATTATCTGGATGCTATTCACATTCGCTTTTACTCAACACATTTTGTGTAACGTTCGTAAAAGGTTGAATACACTTGTCCCACCCTATCATCCAACTTCTGCTCTGAATATTCATCTAATCCTTCCTTTTATTGTCAGACATTGCTCTGCATAGTTATCCACTCAGTTTGTGTGATTTCGGTTACTTCATATCGATGATATCTTTAATTCCAGCCGACAGTTTTCTATCAAGCTGATTCTAGTATGCAAACATTTTGTACAAATTGATGCTGAAATTGTATTAGGTTGCAAGCAGCTGATGAGAAACTACGAAATAAAATGGGTCCATGCTATAACCATTGCTCTTGCTGCATTTAGAAATCTAGATGTAGTTAATTTGGCAAGCTTTACACTGCAAGTAGTTGGTAAAATAATATATATATTATGATAATATACCAAAAACTAGCTCAAATTAAGTGTGATTTAATTCGATTTCAGTAAATCATCAATTTGTTAGATAACTAAATTAGTATTCGATATTTGTATCATATAGAAAGAGTGAAGTGGTTCAGCCGGAAGTTTATGTGTACAAGGATTAACTGAGCTTCACAGTTTCCAGATAAAATGAATGTTTGTCATTTTAGCTTCTTAAAATATGTATTTAGTAAATAATTTATCATATAATCGCAGTAAGAAAGAAAGCCTATTTATTTATAAGTGAATTCTTTGGTATATTTTGATATTGAAAACTCAGAAATGAAATGTTAATTTCCATAAAAGTCGCCAGTTTTTGTATCAAAGCTCTTATTGATCTGATAGGAAAGGAAAAGTCAGACACAAAAAGCCTATATATCATATGATTAACTCAATTTAATAATCGTTTACTGATGTGATGGATAGTGGCTAGCAGTGGAATTCAGGATGCGCGTTTCGTCCTATTCAGGACTCGTCAGCTGAATGTACCTGCCTTCCAATGAGTGAGGTTGTTCTCATCGGGATTCATACTCGGGACCGATTAGCATATGCCAACAGTGACCGATCAGTTTGGTCCAGTCAACGACGGTATAATACAAGCAACAATACGTTTGCTGATTCTTTTAATTTCTCGTTTTTATTCCGAATCTAACTAGCCTAAAGAATAACCGTTTGGAGTTTGAGTATGAAGAGATGGATGGTGAGTTCGAGTTCAAACGGGCGCAGCATCATTCATCAGGGTGCAAGTATATTCAGCTGAAGAGTCCCAAATAGGACTATTTTAGTAAACTATTTTATTTCGAATTCCGAAAACGCTACCACGAAACTATCAGCTTGGCATATCATCTATTTTCCAACACATGAGATTCATCTGTTGCGAAAGCAGTTCTCAGGAAACTTTGAACCCAGATTCGATGATTACTAGCATGCGCCAACAAACTTCAAGAGAGTCATGTTTAGGTAGAGACGTCAGCTGGAGTTTAGAACATGAGTACACAGTTGCTCGAACTGAAGCTGACCCTTTATTGGATTGTATTACCAGATCTCATAAGCATAACGTATTTGACATTTAGTACATGAGAACCTGATCAATTATAGGTAATTTATACATAATAATAAATCTACCAGTGGAACACTTACACTTTAAACCGCTCAGCAGTAAAGTCATTGACCTTAGTAATCAATATTACCGATCATATTTAAGAAGTTCATACGTAGACTGTGATAAGCATTTACGGATTTACAATAATTATAGCCACTATCTGTGTTATGAGTGTTATATTCCCCAAAGTGAACTTTTAACACTTTAATTTTATAAATTTATCTTATGGAAATACTTGAATGATCTTTTTTGAGCCATTTTCCGCCCTACTTGCATCGCTCAGTTTTAACGCTTTTAAGAGCGCTGTTTTCCTATCTGTTAATCTCCCACTTTTAATATGCAATTTTGTTTATTTGCCCCAAGGGAACATATAAAAACAAGAGTTGTCTCTGGATTGTTATGTTCATATTTCCATTGGAGTAAACTTGCTCCAGTCCAATGATGCCTTTTTCTGTGTCAGGTATCGTACTGTTCATCCAATAACTAGATTACGCACCTCACATTAACCGCATCCTAGAATCTCAACAGTCTAATAAAAATTCGATTAATATGTTTATTTGTAATAATAAGATTATTCAAAGTCATCTTTATTGGATATTACTACTAATATTTAAGTTCCTGTCAATGAAACCATAAACATAGATAAAAGCCTAATGTTTTTTGCTGTGTTAATATGTTTCGATGACGTCCGAAGAGAAATAACTTCTTTACATGTACACTGGTGTGTTTTCATTCCTGAACTGTCCATATGGTTCTTTTTTTAAATTTAGAACTCATGGAGGTCTCGTAGGCTATCCTAGACATGCCGGTGATTTAGGAAATATTCCAGTCAACAGACGGGGAGTTATGATTTTCAATCTAAAAGTAACGGTGAAAAAATTATTACCCTATGATGGATTTATTGGTCGCTCGCTTGTCATACATCAACGAATGGATGATCTTGGAACCAATCCAGATGAAGGGAGTAAAACAACTGGTAATTCAGGTCCGAGGTTAGCTTGTGCTGCAATAGGATTCCGTGCTCCATGAAATAATTTCCAGAAAAATTATTCAGTCATGAATACTTTAATGAGGAAAGCATGATATTAATTTTTCCTTCTGCTTTAAGCTGACTTTTCAAATTCAGTTTAATCGAAATAAAGCATACAAAACATTTCAAGAAATTATTGTTAGTTATGTGCTTTTTATTCAAAATCTCGAATATCTATGAAGTTCCGTAAATGTAGTTAGTTTATTCACTAAGTCAGCCTGTATTATATATTTGATTACCAGGATAATCATGTATCTGAGACCTGCACACAGATTGGCAAGTTCTAGAAACATTATCATGGGTGAGACTAAAAGTTATTCCCAGATGTTATAGGATTCTGTATGGAAATATATATTTTATGTCTTTTGTGTGTAAATATTCTGAGGCGAAAACCGAAATCCTGATTCCTTTTAGATGTAATTTGAAGCCTCAACTAACTCACTGTGATCCGTGAGCATCATCTATCTTGAATAACTTTACTTACTTTCCGCCTAAGAAGTGTAAGTGTAGCCAATACTGCATATGAATTAACGGTTTGAAACACGATTCATTGACTGATGGCATTGTGAAAACTATCCAGATAGTTTAAGCATTTATGCAAAACACAGAAAATTTGGTATTTCCAAAAACAACTCAACAATCTATGGGAAGAACCGTAACATTTGGGGATAACTTTTAGTCTCGCCCCATTATTATTTATCTCTTATAAAAGTATACAATATCAAGACAAGGAGAAATTTAATAACTTTTTCTATCCAGAGTAATTTTTAAGAAGCATTATCACAATGCTTTAGAATTAGTCTTCATCATGGACCGATGTCAGTTGGGGAACAATTGGAAATCTGGGAGCACTGGACAGCTGTTTCGTCCTAGCATGGGAATCCTCAGCAGTACGCATCCACCACCTGACTAGGGATTAAACTCAGGATTTTCAGGTTTCACGGAGAACGCGTTAACCATTCAGGCACTGGATCGGTTTCCAGTGGTTTACAATCTCCAACTTCTGTCAATTCACGACATAGCACGACTATCACCCAAGGTATTCAGTTAGCATCCACTTCACTTATGACTGGTTGGCCCCACAGGTCACGGCTTCTCATTAGAGCTTTAAACAAAATTCACTCAAAGTTAGCGCATAAACAATAATATAAAGAGATTTAAGAGCTGTTGGTGGTAGAACAATAATAGGCCATGATATATATAACTTGTGGTTTGATACACTGAAAACTTTTAAGTAACTAAATTCCTCATGACTGGCGGTGATATTCCTGTTTTGTAATTTAAAACATAATCAATAAAAAGTGAGCACGAAGAAATTCACCACACATCATAATATACCGACAACAAAATGAAGAAATTGTGATAAAGAAAAAGGAAGACAGAACAGAAGTAAAAGCAGAGATGGGCCATTAAATAAAAATCTCTGGGCTAGATACTAAAAAGCATTCACTACCTTCATTTTACTTTTCAGAGATATAAGGGAAAAGAAAGGTGCAGGATGCTCACCTTTAGTTCCTATTCTGAGCCATATCTGTTATCATCTAATGTCGCTGAGTTGCACAGTCTCTGGAAACCCGCCTAGGGAATCATGAAGCACGAACAGATGCTTGCAGAACGCAGTTATCCTTTATTCTATGGCACTGAATAATACACTGACGACTAATCACAGGGCTAATGGAACGGTTAGTGATGAATAAGCCGCTGTCATCATATAAAAAATACATTTTCATGTCAAGGAAGCTGATGTTTCAAAAGGACACTAACCAATGATTGACAACCTCTTCCATGCCTAAACCCAAAGTCTCATATCAGAATTACTAAAATAGTTTTTTTCCCCAGATGTGAACAATCCTACTGAGACAACGATACTCGACCATCGAGAGTTGTTAGACATCCTAAACTTGCAAAGCCTGGGTTTACAGGCCCGGAATATCACTTTTATCGAAAATGCATTGTACATCACATATTTTACACGGCACCTAAGGTAATAGCTAGACAAATGATCTACTTTTTATTAAAGTCAAGTTTATAACATCTCTTTTTGTTTTGAAAAGCATTCAGAGTGCCTTTTTATTTCACTCTACTTAATCTTGATCAACACGTTCATTTGACTCCGAATAAGCTGATAACCTACAGTGTTACGTATAATCTGTTTACAAACATTTCTTATGTCAGTTTTTTGCTTGTAAACTGACTATTCTTAACTGTAGTCAATTAAATTTCTATTTTTAAGATATATCAATATTAAAAAAAATACTATTATAATCCAGTAAATCTGTTACCCCAACCTAAATATACTTTTTATTTCCAGAAAGAATATTCACTAGTTGTTACATTTATTAAAATTGCACTCTAAGTACTAAAATATCAATTTATGACTAAACAAGTCATCTCAACAAATTCAATAGTTATTTTTTTAAAGACAGTATGTAGAAAGGTACAACAACAAGTTGTTCTTTGGTGCTTTCAGTGTCATTTTAATCTCACTTTTGTGTGGTTTAGTTAAAAATCAAATTGAGATGTATAGTGAAAATTTTATTAGCCTAATTTTAAGTGGCAGTAATACATCAACTTAGGTAGCAAAACACTTGAATGGTACTGAGATGAATCAATAACAAATTTTGTCAAAATGTGAAGATAGTTTTGTTGTATATACTAACACCATAAAAACACTCGGTTCCAAATCAGTGTAACCGCAGACAATTAGAATCAGAAATAGGTCATTCATTAATTTGCATCAAGATGTCACTTTAAGTGATTTCGAACTGAAAGTACTTCATTGTGTGGATTATTCTTCGCTAATTAATTTATGAATACTGTCAAAAGGTGGTTTATTTTGAAAGTCTAAATTGGTCTAAACTAGGTAAATTATCAAAGAAGAATAATTTATTGAAATGAATAACTCTTTATCACTCAGAAAACTCACCACAAAACTCCGGAATGAAAAAATAATAGTATCGTACTCTGTATAAAAGCACCCGCGTAATATAAATATAAGGCAAGTAAACGCACTGAGAAGATAGTGCAATAATCCATTTGAATTCAATTTGGTATTCATGACAGATGAAAACGTTTAAATAATCATTGAAAGTTAAGAAGTAATAAATAGCTGTTTCGCCTAGTATAGGACTCTTCAGCTGTGTGCATCCACAGCCTTCCCTGAGGATCGAACCTAGAACCTCTATGTTATCCAGCAAGCCCTTTACCATTGGGTAACGAGGTCGGAATTCAGTGATCCATATTTTCCTACTTCTGTCTATTCACGATATAGTGCGACTTTCTTCCGATGCCACGACTGAGTAGCTGTCTTCAAAACAGACTTGATTTACCCAATTTATTGCGTTGCATCGTACAGTGATTTAACCAAAAAAAATATCAAATACAAACCTCCCAACTGAACTTATTTGAAATTTTCTTCATACTCACTAGTATTAATTTGCTTCAAGCGTGAGTTGATGCATACCAGAAATGTACCTGATGTATTTAATAGAATCACTTGATTACGAAAATTTGTAGGCCCACTAGACTGATGCAGTTGTAAGAAACAAAATACAAAAGTAATGGAACTCATCAAACTTTAAAAGGTTAAGTTTGACAGAACTAAAACATTTAGTCAGTAAGAGTTCATCTACTTCCTTCAGAAAGTTAGAAACGTGCAGTATAAACTTCTTCAGCCATTACTTATTGCTGCTATCATGCCTCAATGGCCTTGTGGATAACGCCTAGGCATTTGAAGTGATGAGTAGAAGGTTCCAGTCCCAATAGGAAAAACGTTACTCACTGAGGTGCAGGTACATTCAGTTGACTAGCCCCAAAACAGGGCGAAACGCATGGCCTGCATTCCCCTGCTAGCCATTAACTATAATATTGTAAATTAATTTTTTTTACACAAATTCACTGTTTTGACTGTGTTCAAATGGTTCTGAAATTACTCATCCACCTTCATTTATTTCTAACTTTATTAGTCGTTATTTTTCAATGGAACTAGTACAGTGAAAAGGGTTTGACATCTAAGTTATTCTTCAAATATAGAATACGCCCCTTCAATTAGAATAAAAACAGGGTAGATGAATACAGGGAAGACATATTTTTCCTTCCTATGAACTCATTATCTCAGGTGGACAGTCATGGAAACACTTTGAAAGTATAAAGTGTTCTGGATCAGTATACGGTCTGCAGAAAAAAAACTTATTGAATAAAAAAGGCGAGATTGCATTACACAGATAGGGATTAGAACAGAACGATAAACATAAAATTAGCAAATAAAATATGGCTGTATCAGGAAGGGATTATCGAGTATGGTCAATCATTTATGACAGTCACTGCAAGGAACGAGGTTTCACATACTACTTTAGAATGTATCATGCACATGTTTAAGTTATATCTTAATGTCTTATTCCTACTCCCTTCTAATGACCTGATAGCACCACAAAAAAGATAAATGTCCCTATCTTACTAGGTATTCTGCTAAAGAGCTGAAAAAGCCTTTCTGTTCTTTCTTTATCAACCAGTTGGAGTTATGCTCATGAGGGAGTTTCACGATCTGCCATATATTACGATCGATTTAATTAGTTACTCAGGAGCAAGTAAACAGAATCATACATTATTTGACTCTGTGCTCGTTAGGTTGCTTTATAGATGTTGATGACCATTTGTCAGAATGAAACTTTTGGCTTAAAAATGTTCCCCTGTAAAGTTCAGTGTTCATTTCCTGTTGGGAGTGTACCTAGGTTCTTTAGTAAGTAATCAAAAGTTTCTTCCGTTTATAAAGTTCTAGATTCTTGACCATAGTAAACAGATGAGATTGCTTTCTTCCTTAAGCTGAAACTGTTGTGAAAATGATAAGCTGTTTTTTCCAATTAGGTCAATAAGCAAGTAAATATTATTATTCATTAAAAGTCAAAAACAAGGAACTGAAATTCCGAGTTTGATTCTGCTTCTAGAGTATTATTATTATCATTATTATTATTAGTCCCCTGGGTTCCTTATGGAACATAAG